CCCCAGGTTGTGATTATTGCAAGGTCTTCATTGACAGCATTGACCTGCCTGCGCATTGAGTTCTCAGTTTTCTGGGAAGATATGGAAATTCTGGAAGAGAACGCAATATGGAGGGTACTATCATGTGCAAAGCTGTGGATGGAGCAAGTTGTTACTCCCAACAGATCATTGATATATGAAGAAGGAATAATGTTGGTGCCAAAATTGATCCTTGTGGAACGCCGGAATTGATGCCAATGGTATCAGACGATACACCGTCCACCACCACATGAAGCGATCTGCCTGAAAGAAAACTCGATAAGCGATGGCATAGCTGAGGTGGTAAGCCGTATGATGGTAGTTTGTGGAGGTGTCCTTCGTGCCAAACACGGTCGAATGCTTTCGATATGTCCAACGCGACAGCTAGAGATTCCCCGTGTTTTTTTAATGAAGCTTGCCATAAATGGGTGACGTAGGCAAGTAGATCTCCAGTAGATCTTCGGTGGCGAAAGCCGTATTGTCTATCATTGATGATTCCTGAATCCTGAGCTCTCCAGATGTTTGATAAGCTCAATATTCAATATTGATGGCTTTCTCCATCACTTTAGAGATTACTGATAATAGAGTAATGGGCCTGTAGTTGTTGGGCAGGTTCTTGTTCCCTTTTTTAGGGATTGGTTGTACTATAGCTGTCTTCCAGTATGATGGAAAAATACCCGAACTGTACGAGACGGTAAACGTGTTGCTACTGTAGTCATACTTTTCTACGTCAGACACACAAAACGTTGTCGAAATGTCGAATGGCTTAGTTCTTGCCTCGTTTACTCTTTGAGATAGTTGTGGACTAATCCATGATTGATCATCAGGTATACCCATCTGAAGGTCACAAACAATTTCTGAACAATACTATTCCCGAGACTATTCCCTATGAGTCAATAGCTTCATAGCTCCGTAATGAAAACAACATTTGACAACACGGTAGAATGAATCTTCATGATGTTCGAAGAGCATCGTGCGTACCTAGGGAGAAACTAACCAGGAATTGGACTTATAATTCGTGCGAATCACTTGTACAGCAACTATCCTCAATTTGTGAATCCTCATTTACTGAACAGTAATGATGATTTGCAACAAGGATGGATACCAAATACGAAGAATTCAGTGGAATACTAAATATTTTGATTATTTATTTTCCCGAAGTAAACAACTACACATCGTGTGAATGAATGCCCTTCATGTTATATATACATGTTTGCCCTCTCAGCTATACTACATTGATGATCAAGTTGAATGTGTATGATTTTCCAATTATCATAATTCAATTTCTTGTTTTTTTCACTGACCAATGATTTTTGTAAAGTAACATCAACAGGCATACTCTAGGTATATGTTATTCGAGTAGGACTGTTTCATTCTGATGCATAATTTATCAAAATATTCCACAAACATATGGAATATATTATCACAAATCTTGATTGAAATGATCAACTTAATGATATTGTCTGAGTGGATTGATGTTGAAATCATGTATTAATCAGTCAGAGTTATCAAAATAAGATTCCTCAAGAAGGAAACCTACACTCTTATGGATAAGGACAATAGCATATATAATAATAATAATAATAATAATAATAATAATAAATGTCTTTATTACCAATTAATGAAAGATAATTAAATTTTGTTAGTGCATAGTTAGGGCGAGATTCAGTTTGTATGCATTAAAAAAAAATGTACAGTATGAAATATAAATTTTACATTTAACATACATCTGCTCTTCCATCTAACCCCAAAAGGAAGTCAAAAACAGCGAAAATAATGATAAATAATTTAAATCAATTCATATCAACACAGAAAGGATAAAAAGGATACTAGTTTAGCTCTTGACCGAGGGAATACAATTTTTTTCCAAAAATCTTAATTATTGCTCAGATGAATAGTAGTCAAAGAGAACTCGTTCAAGTTTATGTAGCGATGAGCGAGTGAAATCGTGGGGTAAGTTATTGAGACGGTTAGCAATACAGTAAGAAAACGATCGTTTGAATGACTCAGTATGGTGACGAGGTATAGTAAGAGTATTTCTGTGTCTTAAGTTTAGAGAATGTACATCGGTTCTGAATTTTATTTTATGATACAGATATGGTGGAGAGTGTTCCTTTACTAGCTTAATATAAAACATGGTAGAGTGCATTTCTCGACGATTTTTCATATGTAACCATTTAGTAATTCTGAATGTATGACTGATATGTTCAAATTTGCGAATACCAAAAATTAGTCTTAGGCACGAGTTTTGCAATTTTTGTATTCTTTTTGCATCTAATGAATTTAAACAGGAATTATAAATAATGTCACAGAAATTTAATTTAGATAATACAAGTGACTCACACAGTAGGATTTTAACCGATCTATCCAACACATGGCGAGATTGAAATATGAGTTTAAGAGCTCCATAGGCTTTTTGTAAGCAGCTACTAATATGGTGCGTGAATCTTAAGTTCTCATCAAACCAGACTCCCAAATTTTTTACTTTTTCACTAAATTGTATAGAATTACCATTAATTAAAATTTTTGATGAGTACTCTGTCTTAAACTCCTGCGAATCAGCTTTACTTCCAAAAATGATTGCATTAGTCTTAGATGCATTTAGTTGTAGACAGTGGTTGATTGAAAATGTATGAAGATTATGCAAGTCATAATTGATAGCAGTTACCGCTTGATTTGCTTCATCCAAGGAAAAAGACATATACAACTGCGTATCGTCAGCGTAGTAATGTTGTAAACACGAAAAGAAAATATCAGGAAAATTAGATATATAAACAGAGAAGAGTATAGGGCCTAATATTGAACCTTGGGGCACTCCGGTATCCACAGATAAAAAAGTTGATACACTTGCTTGATTCTTTACAGCTTGACTCCTCTCAGATAGATAAGATTTAAATAAATCCACAGCTTTAATATCCAAACCACTATAAGATAAGATCGAAAAGAGTAAATTATGATTAAGAGTGTCAAATGCTTTGGAGTAGTCAAATAGTAACAACACAGTTAATTTATTTTTATCAAGAGCTGTCATAATGTCATCAGAGATTTTTAATAGTGCTGTTGTACAACTGTGGCCAGTTTTAAATCCAGACTGTACTGAGGGTATTACGGAATTTGTAGCCAAGTGATTCTGTAGTTGTATATTGATAGCTTTCTCTAAGATCTTTGATAGAGTTGGCAATACACTGATCGGTCGTAATTCTTGCAATGTTTGTGGATTATTTACTTTAGGCAAGGGAGTAACAAAAGATTTTTTCCAATTTTGAGGAAACACAGAGTTCAATAAACAAAAGTTGATTATATGGGTGATATACGGCAACAGAAATGGTAGGCACAAGTTTAAAGTGAGAATATTGATGCCATCTGGTCCAACAGCTTTACTTCTAATTCCTTTTATTATATTGAGAATATCAGTTTCAGATACTGGTTGAAACGTGAGTATTGTATGTACCGATTTTTTAATATTATGTTCATAGAACTGTTTCGTGTCATCATCAGGAGTCAATTTAGGAACAGCGTTCAAAAAGAATTCATTGATTTCATTCACATTCCATTTATTTGAAAAATCCATATCATTATGATCTTTTTCGAATCCCACAACCGTCTTCAGACTAGACCACCTCTCTTTGTGTGACATATTCTTCATTTTAAATTTGATATATCCCTTTTTTTCTTTTTTAATAGTTCCATTTACTAAATTACGTAATTGTTTGTAAGACTGCCAGTCGTTATTTCTTTTGGTGATTTTGAATTTTTTTAAGGCTCTATCTCTATCAGAAGTCATAGCCTTGATTGTATCAGTTAACCAAGGAGCGTATTTCTTTGTAATTCTAAAACTTTGAAAAGGGACGTGAAGATCCAGGATACTAGTGATATTATCAGATAAGAATTGCACTTTGCTATCTACATCGTTTAATTCAAATATGATGTTCCATGGTATCGATTGTAGGTCACTATTGAATTGATTGTAATCTAGATTTTTAAAATTTCTACTGATGATGTATCTAGGTTCATTTCTTACTAATTTCAATCTAATATTGAATAAAATCATTTCATGATCCCCTACTATATGTTTTTGGTATTAACTTCTGAAGACTGAACATGAAAATAGCGAATAATAATGGCATATTCATCTTGATAACAGAATTTGGTATTTACTTCTGAGGACTGAAAATAAAAATGGCGAATTCGAGATCAAATTTTAGTTTTTGTTCAAATAATTGCCATTGGAAATTAACTGCCTCCAATTCTTTCCAATACAGTATCGAGGGATTTCTTTCAGCTTTTTCATTTATCAAGTTAGTGACGTCTTGTGTTGAGATTGAGCTAATTGATTATTAAATCGACATTTTCATGATCGTATCGATCAATCCTGATGTGATTATTTCAATATCCGAATTTGATGATGTTTTTCTCTTTCTTTTTCTTCATTTGGATATTGTTTACATATTTGAGTAATTCGAAGGAGCCCACAACATCCCTAACCACATTCTCCCTCACAAAGTCCACTAATTCAGTGGAACCATGTACCAGACATTACTAGAATGAAGTTGATGTAAATCAGCATTGTGAATCTTCTAGAATATAGCTGATGCTGTTTACTGAGTTCTTCAAAAATTACTCAGTTGATTGATAGTCTTCATTCAAAAGTTGTTTTCCTTCGAAGATATCTGATCAAGGGTATCTATCAATAACATAATTTCAGTGCGCCGAGACTGAAAAGTTGGATAGTAATCGAGATGCATGCACAGCAATTCGAAATGAGGACAAGGACACAGATAGAAGAGAAATGAAACAAATATAGTTTTTCAAATACGTCGGATCCAACTGAAATAAATTATTTCCTGGATATTTTTCCGTTCACATTGAGCCATTTCAGCAACAATTCGAGTAATGTGGATATTCTTTGTCCGATGGAGTGTTAAAGGGGAGGGGCAGTGTTTACATGGCACTCAGCACGCCAGTGGGTGTGCCTATCTTACCTATGAAGATCAGACAAGATATGAGGAGCAGAGAGACCAGCCTGGCCTCCAGAGCCTTCCACGCGGCAGGGTGCATGGCACTTCGGGGTTCTCACCGGATCATCGGCATCGCCTTCGATAGCTAAAGTCCATGGCTCGGACGATGATCGTCAGGGCACGAGGATGAGAGAACAGTCCGCACGTAAGCGAACGTACCGCACTAGATTTCCGCAGTTCTAGCATCCTGAGACCGCAGCCACATACTTAGCACTCGACAATGGAAATTTACACCCAGTCTTTTCTGGCGGTGTGCATGTTGGGGTTTTGCTACCTCCTCCACGTACTTTGGAGTACGGCAACTAGATGGCACGAGGCAATGCGCAAGGCCGGTGCGCAATAGCCGAGCCATGCGCCCCTTCGGGAGAGTATCGACCCGTGGGGTAGATGCATAGTCCTCGAAGGAGCTTGCGTGCCACATGGCAATGAGGAGATCATGAGCGCCGGAAGGAGGGATTGGGACGTCTATTGTCCCAGGCAACCAGATGGCGTCTTCCTCAGGCAACCAGATGACGAATGATCACGTCACTGTGACGTCCCTAATTGGTGATTCTTCGTCAGATACGTCACGCAGCAATTTATGAAGTCACGATGACGTACTTTACATGATGTAATAATGACGTCAGCATCTCGACGTCGAGTGTACGTCACTTAGAACCGGGATTGGCGCAGTGAAAGAGCGTCCGTAAGGTCGTGGGATCGATTCCCAGCACGAGCAAGGAACTTTTTTCAATATTTTATTTACGATTTGAATATTGTTAAGTTTCGGAGCATCGGCTGGGGATAGTCCTGCATGATTCGCTGTTGCGTTCCAATTAACAGTGCTGCTCCTAAAGTGGCGCATGGAGTTAGTAACAACGCCTACACAGAAGATGCAGAAAGAGATGATGATGTGGTTTTGAGCATCAGAGAAGAAGTAGGACGGTGTATGTAGGTGGGTGTGGAAAACTACCAGCTGAGCGTGAGAGCGGGCCAGCTGCTTAGTGGACCTCGGTCTCTGACGGAAGTTAACGAGGATAGCTAGCAGGCCTGCCACTGCGGCATATGGTAGTGGGTACATTATTAGCCTACAAAACACAGCCGAAAAACTCTGAAAAAAGAGCTGATGGGCGGTGCCTTAACAGGATGTTAGCCAGCTCTCTTAAGCGAACCACATCACTCATCGAAAACACCTTGGGGTTTGCAAAAAGGTCCCATTAGGGACTAGTTGCTGACGTACAAACGTTCCCCACCAGTACCAGTACCAGTACGTCACTTAGAACGGTAAAATAAGACGTCAGTTTCATGACGTTGCAGGGACGTCCTGTCGACGTCCATGTTTCCCAGATCATATCTAAACCATGTTTGATCGTTAGGTTTGTGGCGTATCTATATATACAGGATGGGCATTCTCAATGTCGAAAAGTTCTCAGAAAAAATCGTTTTTTCATTGATTTTACACACATATACAGGGTGTAACTCAATAAGTGTAAAACATTTGAGGGGGTGATTCCTCATCGAAAAAAAGATGGGATCTTTCATATAAAAAAACTTCATTGGAGCATCCCATGTTAAGATAGAACCCCTTGAAGGGGGTACATAATATTTGTTCAACAATTCTTTTTACAAGCACTATAAAGAAGTGACAGTATTGAAATTAACCTGACATTTTCTACTACCAAAAAGACACTTATCTAGTGAAGAATGCCAATGCTTTGCCGTTCAATTGACGAACGAGTTCTGGTGAAGTGTTGTTCGACATATTTCAATGGAAAGGATATACTGACTGGGCCTGTTGAGTTCGTCTGACTGGTATTACTAGTGATGGCATGACAGCAGAGATTTCTGAGCAACACCTCCTGTGGAAGTATCTATAGGAAAGTGAAAGGTCGTCGACTTTTCTACGGTGTTCTAATGAAGTCAAAGTATTAGTGAGTGTGGTATCACCCACCAGGCGAATGACTCTTCTCTGGATAGAATCTTAGAGTATGTTCGGAAGTTCGGTGCTGAAACGAATTTCTATGACTGATCGCTCTAGTGATGGAGTTGAGACAAGTGTTGTTAACTGGGTAATAGGTAATCAACTTCGTATGCACTTTGCTATGAACATCGCTATGATCTCTAGTGACATCACAATATTTGGCCATATAATAGATAACCTGATGTCAACGGCACATCGTTACAGCCAAATCACGTCATCCGTAAGACATCATTTCGACGTCGCTCATTTGGGATCTAACTCAACATCCCAGGCAACCAGATGACGTTCCAGTGACGACTTTTTAAGTCAGTTGAATGACCAAGGTGACATCAGGAATTGACGTCGTATGATGTGATAAATGACGTGGATACGTCATAGCCCAATGACGTCATATTGCTCAGGTTTATTGACGTCAGTCATTCACCTAACGGTGACGTCGGAATGACGTTCAAATTTGGTGATCAAACGTGGAAAATTTTCCTCAAGCATAGTGTGATAAACACCACTGACCGCTGATGACGTCTAATATTGAATATACATTGTTGAAACTGCTTAGTGGTTCTTTTGGTGTCATGTCCATTCAATCGTCTGTTCAGCAGTGCTATCCTTCAGGAAGCATCTTCATCAGAATAAATATCAGTAGGTAACTTTTTTTTGTATGAAAAATTTCGTTTTTTGTGTCGGCGAGATGTAAGCGAACCAAACATAGTTTAATAGCAATGTAATTCGATCTAAAATATTTTCAGCGCTTTGGCGTTGCCGCTTATATCGAACACCCTGTATTTTATTGTACTCTTGGAATGTCCCTGCAGAGCGGATTTCACCCATCTATCTTACATTGCCGTCTAGCGGGAATGATTACAGAAATATAGGGTGTGATAAATAGAGATATTTAAAATTTAGTAATTTGATGTGTCCCCAACTATTGATTATTGGTAAAAACGGCTTCCATGTCCCTATCTCAACTTTGGATTTATTTACTACCCAGTTATTCAGGGTGAAATTATCATTGTGGAAATGCGACTTCGCCGTGTTGATTTAAAAAAAGGACACCAGAGTACTTATTGATGATTGATCAATGTCCGCAACATCATACATCGCCAATGAGTTGTCAGCACATCACATTGTAGATTTATTTTAATCACCATACAATGCAAACACGCAACTTCTGACTGTGGCATTGACTTGAAAGTATATAAAACACTGATGCGATTGGATTTGAACTTCGATTGAAGCTCTATGGTCATTGAATCCAGGAAGAATTATTTGTAGAGCGTATTCTTCAGTTTATTTCATATTTTTGTGAGTGGTATATATAACCAATTATGACGAAAGAATCATGAACATCCGACCCCTAAAATTCCCAGATTCCCAGATTCCTCATTCTCAATAGTATCGTCGGAACATGATTACGAAACTCGTAGGCCAAATTGCATTCGCTCTATCGAATTTCTCAATTTTGAAGAAAAAATTATTTTTTCTGACCCAGAAACTTTCCAGATACTAATTTCAAATAGAATCGGATGATAATCGCAGAACTCGTTCGCCATATTGGATTCACCATTTTGAATCTCCAATTTCGACAGAAGCATCATAATCTCCAACCCCAAACACCCCAAGATACCAATCTTGAATGGAATCGAATCATAATTACAAAACTCGTCCGCTATATTGGATTCACCATCTTGAATTTTCCAGTTCTGATGAGAATATCATATTCTCCGACCTCAAAAACTCTCGAATACCAATTTTTGATAGAATTGGATCACGATTAAAAAACTTGTCGGCCATTTTGGATTCGTCATTCTGAATTCTGATAAAAAAATCATAATCTATCTGACCCCGAAGACTCTCATGCAGATAGCAACTGTATATATAGAATCCGGTCATAATTACAAAGGACCCCGCACCGCAATAGGGAAAAAATTGGCTATCGGTGAATTTTCTCGAATTCTGGATATATCGTAGAACTCGTGATGCTGATCAGATCTCCCAATTATCAACACTATGAATTCAATAGTTTGAATTATACAGGGTGCTGAAGTTGACTTTTTCAAAATTTCGAATGGCCAATGTGAAGTTTCTTTTTTGAATACCAAAATCAAATCGACTACGTTTTGTTTGTCCATGTGGCCGGTGAAAATCCACTATAGAGTTCAATGATATCTGCACGTACTCACGATATACAGAGTTGGTCCAAAAATAGCAAATGTTCCAATTATTTCCGAGAAAGTGAGCGGTTGAAATCAATTGATTTTTGGACATTTTGTAATATACTAATATCAACATCGATTCATCATAATTGCATTTCTTGAATCGGACTACATATTATACACAAGATGTTCGAGTCTCCATGAAACCGCACCCTTCCTGAAATTCATATCCATCGAATGATTGGAATTCCGTAAAACTTGGTGAGGAAGTTGATGATTCGTGATGACAATATTTTATGTTAATACCTGAATTATACAGGGTGGTTGTGAAAGGAGTAGTGGAGTTTTCTTGAAGTTGACGTACTCAGGATTTCTGTCTTCTTTCTCAATTGCTCTGGAAATCAACCCCCAATTCTGTGAGGACCTTCTATATATGAGGGAAACTTCAAACGCCATTATTTGACAAACCAGAACGCTCCTTCGAAGATTTTTCTGTTTATGCAGAACATTATTCCTTTCGAGCAGTCGAGTAGAAATATCACTATAATATCATCACATCGTGGTTTCATTGATCATGACATGCAGAGTTGACCATGATTAATTAATTAATGAATTAATTTTTTTTTGTATTCATGAATATATCTGAGAATATTCCTTTTCAATACTGGAGATCAAGATATTGAGCACCTCAAATATTTTCGAACTGGTTCAGTTATTGTTTATATCTTCGATATTTTTATTAATATTTATTTTGGAAGTGATATTAATTCGACAACAGACACATTTGATAATTATTATTATTCGATTACCTACCACTACTACTAATATTACTACTACTACTTTCACAACCACCTTGTATAATTCAGGTTTTCGCATAAATTATTGTCATCACGAATTATCAACTTCCCCACCAAGTTTTACGTGATTCCGCAATCATTCGATGGATATGAATATCAGGACGGGTGCGGTTTCATGGAAACTTGAACATCTTGTGTATAATATGTAGTCTGATTCAAGAAATGCAATTATGATGAATCGATGTTGATATTAGTATATTACAAAATGTCCAAAAATCAATTGATTTCAACCGCTCACTTTCTCGGAAATAATTGAAACATTTGCTATTTCTGGACCAACTCTGTATATCGTGAGTACTTGCAGATATCATTG